CACTTTTTCCACATTTTTCCTCCAGTATATTTTAGTCTAACACATATCTATTATAGATATTCTCCCTAAATATATTCCCATCATTCATATTTTTTGCACTCAATCTTCATCAAAGTACCCTGAACACATTTGAACAACCCAGAATCCAACTGTAAATGTGGTCTATTTAACATTAACTGCTTCTTGAACAAATTTAATCTCAGCCTTATTTAAAATACATGCACATATCAACTCTGCGCCAGCTTGCCAACTTTGATGACATTCCTCCTCTAGGTGGCGCTACCTCACCGACCTGATAAATTCAAATGACCCAACTATGTGGTGATTATTCTGACTCACTTGATATTTTGCACATTCCATCCTTGTACAGAGTCCTAATATTCCTGGGCCTAATTGAGATATTCTCTGAAAAATATGGCTGCAATCTCATATTCAGTAAGATTATCTATCACTGTGTATTGTTTTCAGATCTAGATCAAGATGCAGATTTTAAAATCCAAACATTTCTGTTGTTAAAATAACAAATTCAGATTATTATACTTCATAGTTCCTGCCTTATCCTGGTCTTTAACACGCCACCTTATGTTTGCCAGTAGTTGCCATGACAACGATGGTCACACTCAGCTAAAAGAGTGACAGATGAGCTGACCCTAATCCACTTAGAAAAGGATGGAAATAGTGAATCTGATGTCTTTAGTGTAGATTAAACAAGGCAATAACTGCAGTAAACAGTATTATGTCTGTGTGTAAGTGATATGGAAACAGAGAATGAAGACCATACAGGAAAGCAGGGTAAGACTACAACCAAACTCAAAAAATCTCCTTCCTTAAAATCAAATGTTTATTGTTACTGTGCCTGTTAAACTTTATTTTTTAGTACATTTAAGTCTAATTTCCTCTTGTTGACACATTCACATTCTTTGTTTCTTTATCTTTTGTTTGTTTGTTGGAGAAGATTACCTCTGGGTAAAAATGAGCTCACTGGAGCTACAAACCAACCAATCACAGGACGCCAAGCGGAGCTCCAAGAGCTGCTTTATGACCCTCATTACCTCCTCCTTTCCCTATCTGTGTGTCTTTGTATATATATGTGTGTGTGCGTGTGCACAGGGTGTTTCCACATCTGGAGTCTGAGCTGTGTTTTCCTTTGGGCCCATTCCCATGCTCTGTGAAATCTTTTCTCCTCCCTGTTTCTCTAGACTCCCCTCCTCCTCCTTAAGCCGCTGTTTCCTGTAAGAGCGAGACAGAAAGTTGGCCTTCTGTGTATGAGTGCACGTGAGCTGGCTTCCAAACTGCTGCGTGTGTTTCTGAGTTCAAGTTCTGGTATGTAGGTTAAAATGAGGCTGGATTCTTGTGACCAAACTCTAATAAGCTCACTAATGATAGAATATAACAAGAACGATGCAGGGAGGCTGGGGGGGGGGGGGTGAGTCACATGCATGCATCGCAGTAACAGCTTTAACCCCAAAGTGGTGAGAGGAGAGGGATTGTTTGGTTCATTTCTATGCATGATTTAAACACACACACACACACTTGCACTCTAAAGTTGAGGTCATGGAAAATCTTCAAAGCAATCCCTGTGGCTTTGAGCATGTTGGACAATTCAGTTCGTTAGACACAGATGGGCTGGAAGCCTGTTGAAACCTGTAGAAACCTCCAATGAGAACATGAATAATGGATGAGCTTCTTAGATGAATCTGGTATAAACGCAGAGCTCTGTCTGTCCATATCATTCCGAGTAGAACCAGCAGAGGATTCATGACATTTAACTAATGAACACAGAGGCACCACTCTTTTTTTCAGCTGATTCAAGTGGATTGTTGCTATGGTAAGAGCATGTACAGGCTCCTGTTGTGGCAAGATCACAGAAGTGTCAATCAAAAGAGGCTAATGGAACCAAGCCCCATAATGAGATTACAGCAGAGCCTGTTGTTGAGATTTTATGATTGAGACAGACATTTAACAGCGGACAAAGCCACTGTAATGTCACCCAACCAAACAGGGAAGTGAGGTTGCCTTATGTGGTCATAAATCTTGCCTGCGTGTAGCCTTCATTGTCACCATGAACAATGTGTGGACAGACATGTGGTAGCTCCATATCTAATTTACAGCCATGAGTGGTACTGATCTTCTCATCTAACACTTGGCAAGAAAGCGAATACGTGTATTAACCAGAATGTAAAACCAGTTTTAGAATATCTTTTTTTTTGACTCACTTTGTAACTCCTGCACACAGTGACCCTAGATAAGGTGGATAAGGGAACCACAGTACAGTTTCTATCAAAGTAATAGCTAGAATATTCAGGTTTCTTAAAACCAAGACGTAGAGTTATTTCAGAAACCAACACATGACGTTTAAATGCACAAACACATAACTGGCATACTAGAGTGCATGCAAACACACTCATTAATCCAATCACCATCAGAGCATACATTAGAAAAAAAAATGGACAAACTCAGCACAAACAAA